ATTTGTTGAGGATGCCTCGAGCGAAACGCTTGTTTTGTGTTATAGGTTGTCCTTTCCTGGGGGCGAGAAATCAGAGGATCTCTCAAGTGAGTTGCGTGTGTTCACGTGCCCAGGTCTTGAGGATGTCTCGAGCGAGACGCTTCGGGGATGTGTCGAGCGAAATGCTCACTTTACAGAACTCGAGGGGCCTGGGCGCCCCAGGATGCCCAGGTGGTTCTGGGAGTCCGAACGCAACGTAATTTACTCAGGACAGTTGCCCTGGGAGCGCGGACGCAGCGTAATAGACGAGGGAGCACAGCCCTGGGAGCGTGGACGCAACGTAGTTTACGAAGGACCGTGGTCCTGGCAGCACGGTCCCTGGCGCGTCCCGTGGCAAGTCCCCCTGGCACGTCGCGCGGCGCGTCCCGTGGCACGTCCATTGGCACGTTTCGTAGCGCGTCCCTTTGGCACGTCCTGGCGCGTCCCTAGGGACGTTACACGGCGCGTCCCCCTGGCATGCCCTTTTGTCAAGTAGCTCTGGGGCGACTACTATGTGCTGAGGCAGCTCGAGCTTAAGATCCAGATCAGTTCGGTCAGGACTCGGATGCAAAGGAGGACTCGATCCACAACGCTATAGAGCACAATCGCGGCATGGCACATCGCAATTCAGCGCGGCGCAGGGCAGCACAGCCCTCGGCACGGTACACCAAGATCGATACACAGCATTGCAATTTGGCACGTTCTTTTGCACGTTTCGTGGCGCGTCACATGGGGTGTCCCCCTGGCACGTCGCGCAGCGCGTCCCCTGGCACATCCCGTGGCACGTCCAGTGGCACGTTCCGTAGCGCGTCCCTTTGGCACGTCCTGCGGTGCGTCCCCATGGCACGTCCTCTGGCACGCCGCCTGGCGCGTCCCTTGGGACGTTCCGTAGCGCGTCCCCCTGGCATGTCCTTTTGTCAAGTAGCTCTGGCGCGACTACTATGTGCTGAGGCAGCTCGAGCTTAAGATCCAGATCAGTTCGGTCAGGACTCGGATGCAAAGGAGGACTCGATCCACAACGCTATAGAGCACAATCGCGGCATGGCACATCGCAGTTCAGCGCGGCGCAGGGCAGCACAGCCCTCGGCACGGTACACCAAGATCGATACACTCAGCATTGCGTTTGCCCGTCGCCCAATCAGGTGTTTTTAAAGCGTTGCCATGCCTTATCTGTCTATATTCCTTTCCGGGTTCGTGGGTCGATCATGTTTTTGGAAACGAGCCGCCCTCAAATCGTGAAGATCTTGCACATTTTCAAAATGAATGTGCGAAATGCTGAGGCGAGAGCGACGTTTAACCAACCACCGGCCCTCAATCCGCGAAGGCTGGGCAACATTTCCCACGTAATGTGCGCGGCGCTCAGTCGAGAGCCACATTTTGAAAATCACCCGCCCTCAATCCGTGAAGATTTTGCACGTATTACGAACGAATAAGCGCGGCGCTAAAACAAGTGTATTTTGAAAGCGAGCCGCCCTGAATCCGTGAAGCTTTGCAAACTTCCAAAACGAATGTGCGAGGTGCTCAGGCGAGAGCGACATACAAAAACACCCGTCCTCATTCCGTGGAGCTCTTGCTCAGTTTTTTTACAACGATTGTGCGCACCGCTCAGGCGAAAACGACATTTTGAAAACGACCCGCCTTCATTCCGTGAAGCTCGTTTTTTTTTGAAGACCAGTGTGCGCGGCGCTCAGGCGAGAGCCACATTTTGAAAACCACCCGCCCTCAACCCGTGAAGTTCTTGCACGATTTTCAGACGATTGTGCGCGGCGCTCAGGCGAGAGCCGCATGTTGAAAACCACACGCCCTCAATCTGTGAAGCTCTTCCAAACTTTTACAACGAATGTGCTCGCCGCTCCGGCGAGAGCCACATTCGCCCTCAATCCGTGAGGCTCGTGCAGTTTTCAAAACGAATGTGCGAGCTGCTGAGGCGAGAGAGAGACATTAGAAAAACCACCCGCCCTCAATCTGTGAAGCTCTTGCAACATTTCGAGAATATTGTGGTGTGCTAAGGCGAGAACCACATTTTCAAAACGACTCGCCCTCAATCCGTGAAGCTCTTGTTGCATTGTTTCAACAGATGTGCGCGGCGCTACGGCGAGAACCACATTTTGGAAGCGACCCGCCCTCCATCTGTGAAGGTGTTCGTCACTTTTAAGCGTCAGGGTCGTAAATGGTGACCCTGCCCGCCCTTTCGACTGGCCTCGGGGTGCGAAAGGGGTGAGTCAATTATGAAGACAAAGGATGGAGGTGGAGGAGGACGAAGAAGAGAAGGAGGAAAAGGCCTCCTGGGTGCTTCCAGGGGGCCTTGTGGGGCCTCCGAGGGCCTCTTGAGGGCCTCTTCGGTGCCTGCGCGGGCCTCCAAGGGACCTCGTGACCTTCAGAGGCCGTCTTGGGAGCCTCTCTGGGTGGTCTTGGGGCCCTTATTGGATGCTTCAGGGCCGTCTCGGAGGCCCCTGGGGCCTTCTGGGGGTTATATTTGTGCCGTCGTGGGTGTCGCTTGGGTCGTCTTGGGACCCTGTTGACCCGTCTTGGGCTGTTACGTCGGCGGCCGTCTTGGAGGCTCTTGGGTCCCTCTTGGAGGCCTCTTGGGCCATCTTGGGCCAGTTTTATAGGCTTCTTGGGCGCGCTGGCCACCGATGCGGCCATAATGTTCACCCTTCAAACCTAGGAGTTACAGCCGATTTTTGGGGTGGCCCCCATTGTCTCCAAGACGGGGGCCCGAGAGGCCCCCCAAAGCGCCGAAGTTGGCCGAGGTTGGTTCCGAGAAGGCTCAACAGGGCCTAGGCTTCATAGATGGCCGACCTGGCTGCGAGATCGCCCGCGTCACTCGTGTCAAGGGGGGGGCTAGGTCCCCTGGGACGACCCCCCTGAGACGCCCCCTATCGCTGGAAAGGGATGGAATGGAAGGGGCTTCCCTCGACTTGATCGCGACCTGGGTCGATTCGCTTCGGGTTGGCGAGCTTGGTGGCCGCAGCGAAAGGGGGGAGAGCTTCGAATCGAAAAGCATTATCACTCTGAGACGCACACATCATTATTCCCTCTCACACACGCCGACAGGGGTGGCGAATGTTGTCACACTTCTACAGGGTCTGTGCGAGCCCCAGGAACTTGTGTTGGGTTAGGTCCAAAACTTGGGGTTCTCGCGCACGCGGGCGCACACCGTTGTGGGCAGGAACAGGTCGGCGTCGGTTTGCGCGTGAATCGCGCGAGCGGCATGGCGGCAGTCGTAGCATTGCGTCGCAGGCGCGAGTCATCGCGCCGTCGCGCCACCAGGTGAGCTCGATCTGTGCGTCCCAGGCTCAATTGTTCTGCGGGGTTCTCGCGAAGGGGTCTGGTAACATTTCCTCTTCTGTGTGGTCGGGCGGGTCTCGTGTCAGCCTCGGGGCCGCCTGGAGGCGGTCTCCGACCGTCTCGGGGGGGTAGTCCTCGTGCGGTGTTTTGGCGGCGAGCGAAAGGGGAAGGCACAAGGAAACGGCCCTCTCAGAAGGCGGGAGGACTTCTCAGAAGCCGTCGCGCCTTCTAAACAAACCTTGGCGTCCTCGGGGCAGGCGCAGAACACTTTTCAGAAGGCCATGGGACTTCCGAGCCTTTTTGAGAAGGCCTCCTCCTCCTCACTCCCCCCCTGCTCGCCGCCGAGTCTTCGGGCCGTCTTGGGGGCCTCTTGGGGCTGTGCGGGGGCATTGGGGCTGTCTTGGGGGCCTCTCGGCGCCTGCCGGCGCGTGGACAGGCGTCGCCGCGCTTGGGTGACCTGCGTTGTGCTGGCGGCAGCGCGGCGGATTTCGTAGGGTCGGCTGCGCGCAGCAGTGCGCAGCTCCCCGAGGTGCCCTGCCGGGGGGCCCCTCGCCTGGCGTCGGCGATCGCGCCTGCCGCCAATGTCGCCGGTCGAAACAGTGTGGGGTTTTTGTCTGGACGCCCGACATGGGTACCGAAAGAATGGGTACTATGCCCAACAGCGGATCTGGTTCATTTTGAACAAGATCCGCTGTCCACGCCGCCGCGGCCTGTGTCCATTCGAGACAGAAGGCCGCCTGCCCAACAGCGGCCGCTGTTGGCTTGGGACAACATTTGTTGTTGGGCATAGTGCCCATTCTTTCCGTACCCATTTCGGGTGTCCAAATTTTTGGAACCTGAATGAACATGTTGTTGTTTTGAGCCTCTGGGGTCCTCGGAAAGGCCTGTCGGGGACATCCTGGCGCCTCTGGAAGGAGTTTTTGGGTCATCGGGTATGGTCTTAAGAGCATCTCGCGCCCGTGGGCAGTCTTGGAGCTATCTTGCTCTCTCTGGGTCCGTCTTGAATCCATCTCCAGAGTGAAGAGGGCGACTGGCAGAACACGTCATAGTGTTGATGTTTGTGGTTTCCCTGGAGCATATCGAGGCCGTCTTGGGCCGCTTTGGGCTCTATCAGTCCTCCTGGGCCTTCTTGGGGCGCTCCTGGCCTTTTGAGCCCCCCTGGCCGTCTGCTTGCGTCTATGGTGGAGCCTTGGGGCAACTTAGAGAGTGGCCAAAGAGCAGAGGGACCGCCGCCAGGTGAGGTGGGCGCCTCACACAGGCGTCCCCCGTG